GTTCAGAGGAAAACCTGCCAAAAGTTAGCAAGTTACTCTGTTAGCATTGTATGCTAACACTCAGGCACTAGTACAGATGAACATTTTCCCGCCTTTATTGGTTAAATATTTTCATAACCTTCAGAAATGATCAAAACCATCAAATGTTAAATCTTTAATCAGGATTTTTAGACGATAAATTCATATTTTTTTCCATGATGCTGATATTTTTTTTATTAAAAAACATTCAATTTAGGTGTTCTTTTTAAAACAAATGTCGGATAACAGTTAGAATTGGGCTATAGCTACTCCCTTTAGCATTGTATGCTATCATATAATCCATGTAAATTACGAATTATCCCATTCCTTTCAGGACTATAAACTCTGGTGTTAAACTCTCTGGCAGTAGCACAGATTAATATTTTCCCGCCTTTATTTGTTAAATCTTTTAATAACCTTCCGACCTGATCAAAACCATCAAATGTTGAGTCTTTAATCAAGATTTTTAGACGATAAATTCAATTGTTTTTCATGATGCTGATATTTTTTTTTATTAAGCTAAAGAATTGGGCTAACGAAAGGCTAATAAATTATCAAAACATCACTCAAAAAGAGGATGAAAAAGCGATGGAGTACAAAATAATATTTGTCGAAGTCATAAGAAAAATACAATAAATATATATAAATTAAAATCAAAATAAATAAGCTAAGATAGCTTAAAGTTCAGGTAGTATAAAATATATATAAAATATGGAAATGAAAGAAAAATAAATAAGCTAAGTTAGTTTTAAGTTCACGTAATGTAAGTTAGATAAAAAAAGAGAAGTAGAAAAAAATATATACAAAATATAATATATATATTTATATATATATATATACATACACATATAACTAAGATAAGTTAGCTTAAAGTTCCTGTCTAAAGTCAGATTAAGTTAGGGTTGGTCCTGTATCTCAGTCTCATCCTCTACCTCCGTTCTCCAGTCTCTATAATCAATAAAACCCCTTTCTATTGATAATTTCTTTATAATCTACTTCTTGTTATCTCTTTTCTCTCTTCACCTGCGGCCTTAAAGGCGTGCGGCAGCTCGCCGGCGCCGATCACGCCTGAGCGGTCGCTGTCGTGGGACAAATAGATGCTCTGAAAAACACAGAAATAAAGAAAATATACAGCAGAACCTCTATTATTATGACTAAAGATACTAATATTCCAACATACAAAGTGAAATTCGATCAAATATTCAACACCAAAAGTAAATTTCCAACCTTGAAGTCATAGAAAAATATATATATAAAATATGTAAATTAAATAAAAATAAATAAGATAAGTTAGTTTAAAGTTAACGAGATGTAAGTTAGATTTAAAAATAGGAAACAAATCTATGTGAAAATTAAATAAAAATAAATAAGCTAAGTTAGTTTAAAGTTAACGAGATGTAAATTAGATTTAAAAATAGGAAACAAATCTATGTGAAAATTAACTAAAAATAAATAAGCTAAGTTAGTTTAAAGTTAACTTAATGTAAGTTAGAATAAAAAAAGAGAAATAGAAAATAATATATATAAATTAAATAAAAATAAATAATCTAAGTTAGTTTTAAGTTAACGTAATGTAAGTTAGATTTCAAAAAAGAAAAATAGAAACAAAATCTATATGAAAATTAAATAAAAATAAATAAGCTAAGTTAGTTTAAAGTTAACGTAATGTAAGTTAGATTAAAAAGAAGAGAAATAGAAAATAATATATATATAAATTAAATAGAAATAAGTAAGCTAAGTTAGTTTAAAGTTAACGTAATGTAAGTTAGATTAAAAAAAAGAGAAATAGAAAATAATAAATATATAAATTAAATAGAAATAAGTAAGCTAAGTTAGTTTAAAGTTA